ATTATCTATAAATATATATAAATCAAATGTGAAGAATCATATTTAATTTCAGGAAAATTTAGAAATGAAGGAACTACATGGATTAGATGTGATGCTAGTTTTAGTCTTGTCAAGGCTAATAGAAATCCACTGCGATTATTAATATAGCCACAGTTGGCTGGTTAGCTACTGATTTCTGCAAGTGTATTCTTCTCCCATGGATTTCAATCTGACTAGAAGACGATCAGGTCTGATCTGACTTGAATAAAATTACTTATTACCCTTAACTTATTCTAAGACCGTTTTGCCTCTTTATCTTTCATTCGCTTCACTCTCCATTGTATCTCTCCCTCTCTCTCTCTATCTCCCTCGCTTTCTCTATCTCTCTCTTTCATTATTTCTATCCATTTCTGCCATTATCTATCGCATTCTATCTGAAAACTCAATAAAGTATCGATACATATATCACGGCCTAGCCATTTCTCTTAGTGGAATTGTATTCGATTACGATTCGTTGCATTTTTTTAATTTATTCAATTTTGCATTACGCAAGAGAGAGAGAGAGAGAGAGAGAGAGTGGGAGAGGGGAGAAAAATGCATTCATAACAGACAAGGCAAATAGTGGAATGGGCATGAAATGAAGATGAAAGCAAAAAGCACATAAATAAAATATTTACGCTAATTTATTTACTCAAGAAAAAAGAGCAGAAGAAGAGAAATAAAATATGTTTCGTTTGCTCTGCGCGAATTCCTTTTTAGCGTTATTTAATTAGTTTTTGTTTGCACCTCGTTGCTAGCCGCCCTCTCGGCCCCTGCGCCACTCACCCCTCTCCCTACTCCCTCCTAACCACGCCCCGTTGGCCTGCTTCAATTTTCGTGTGTCTGGCAAAGTTTTCAATGCTTTTTTCTTAGTTTTTTCCCTCACCTGTATTTTTTTCCAACGGCTACTTTTGCTTTTAAACGTGTTAATTATGCGGCAGTTGCTGATTTTTGTGAAAAGCGAGCGAGAAACCTTAAGCGCATTTTTGTATTGCAAATTCAAGCCGAGCACGAAAGACAGAAACCTTAATAAATTTATGAAATTGTTAAAAGGAAGAGTGTGTGAGAGAGAGAGGGAAAGATTGTATTGGAAATATTTAATATTTCGCCCGGAATGAGAAACTTTTAACGAATTTTGTATTGCTGAAGTTTAAATTTTGGAGAGAAACCTTTAATGAAACGTTGCATTCGTCATGACAGATATTTGAATATCTTTATGGAATTTATGTCAATCATTCACTTTGATGTGGCAAAGCTTCATCAATTGCGCTCAGCACGCTGATGATTTCCCACAGCTTTGGTTTCGCTTTTGCATAATGCCTCTACCTCATTGTAGAGCGGCCCCTCAGCCACTTCCCTCTGGCCAGTGAGCCCTGCTCAGCTAACTCGCAAAGCCGCAAGTTCTAAGCATTCATGAATTTCCTACGTTAGGAATTATAAAGCGAGTGAGACAGAGATGGAGACCCCATGTTGAGGTGGCACCGACCCAACACGCAACACAAAGATGCCGCTGCCACACAGTGTTGCAACAACAGCAACAACAACGTCAGCAACAAGCTGGGTGATTGATTAATAACAAATTAGCATTAAAGCAGACAACAGCGACTTGTATCTGTGAAAAAGATACATTTAATGATATAGATACGTCGATAGACATAGATACATATGCATACCCATACAGATACAGACACTTCTATAGATATAGATACTTTTATAGGTATAGATACTTTTATAGATACAGATACATTAACAGTTGTAAATTATGCAGAACTAAACGCGAGTTGCATGGAAATTGATGATTCCGTTAAATGGTTGACTGATTGATTGATTGATTGAACAGACGCTAATTGCAGGTGACACTCAGTTGTTGTGCAATCGGCAAATTGCGCATTTGTCGATTGCAAGCCATAAAATATATATTTATAGTTATATATATATATATAGATATCTATATATACATATATATTGCGAGTTACTTATAAGCTTTAAAGTAGTTCAGGGGCAGGTTTAGCGAGCAGTTCAGTGAGGCAGTCAGGCAGGCAGTCAGTCCGAGAGGCCGTCAGGCCGCCGCTCAATCAGTTAGTCAATCTCCATTTTAATTTTTATGTTTTTTAATTAATTAATTACAATTTGTAATTGTAATTTGCCAGCATTGACACAGTTTTCGCACCGTTAAATAAAATGAAAAACTTTCCATTTTGCCCGGTTTCAACTTTATTTTCATTTAAATGTCAGCTTTTCCGGCTGTCGGCGTGACATTTACACAGCGAGTGCGCAATTTTCAATTGATTAAGCAATTTTATAGTTTTCCCTCGAACAAAAAAAAAAAAAAATAACAGAAAAATTCCAAATAAAATAAAAGCCAATGCCATGAAGCGAACAACGACCGCTTCATTTCAATAAACGCAAAGATTGATTAAAAAGTTCGTTTGCAAACTGCAATTGCAACCATGAAATATATACATATGGAGATATATATTTACATATATATATATATATATATATATATATATATATATATATATAGATATATATTGATAGTTTCCATCATAAAACTGGTTCATAAATCGATTTTAAGCGTGTGCACTAATCGAAGCACCAAGTGCTGAATCAATTTCCATTTTTTACATTTTTATAGCTAAAATGCAAAAGCTAAAACGTAAACTGCTTAGCTATAAAATGGCTAAGTATTGTTGCTCAAATTTTGTTTTTATTCCTTTGACTTATATTCTTTTACTTTTTAAAGTAACATTTTCTACTTTTTCAACAAGTTTATTTTCTAGAAGAAAACTAAAACTAACCACAGATAAAATTCAAAATTAAATTCGAAATATTTATTTTTATTTTTACTTACTTGTCCCAATGTTCTTTTTACTCAATAAAAGTAATCTCAAGATGATGCTTCAAATCAAATTGATTAATGGATATCTGTCATAAGGAAAACATCAGTGTGAAAATTGGAGAATCATATGCAGATATTACTTAAGGAGCAGGTGGGATATTGCTTGGGAAATTCATTGTGGGAATCAAAGGTTCAGTTTACAGTATCGTAGTCTCACTTTTATTGTATATCAAGTAAGGCTGCTAAGCTGCTGAATTGCTATAGTTAAGCTTAGCTTAACGTAGGCGCAACGCTCTTTCACTCTCATGCTGTCTTCAGTTCTCTCTATTAATTATGTTTCTGTTCTATTGAAATTTCTCTCGCTAAGCCCATGATAAAGCTGAATTCCAACTTGAGAACAGAAATGTCGCTGTAGCCGACACAACGAAATGAATTTTGGTTTTTTCCATTCCTTTGGCTGCTTTTTTGCGCACTCATTTCCTTCAACATGTGAGCGATGGATGCGCTAAGAAGATCTTATTTATCATCAGATGACATGACAGCTGATAAAAGGTGCCCCCGCCTCACCTTTCAAGCTTACCTGCCTTACACACACATTCCACACAGCTAGGCTGACGACAGCGCAACTCCCCAGGCGTATAAACCCCTTTCCCAACTCTCTCATATGGAAATCCAGCGAAATCCTCTTCGGGCGACAACATCAAATTATTAAACATAAATTTCCGGCTGCCATTTTATGCACGTAATTTTGGAACAATTTATCATTCGGTCTACTTAAATTGCTTCGATGACACAAAAGTGGGCAGCGTCCCATGGCGAGCTGGAGTGAGTGGGGGTCATGGGTCGCAGCTGCTCGCCTATAAATATTTTGGCGTCTAATTGTTTGGCAAGCCCCCGGCTCAGGCCCTTGAAAAGGGGTTGTCAACGCGCAGCAGCGTCTGCGGCCATAAAGAAAATGCTGCCAGCCAGGCTCTTGCCTTGCCATTGCCTTCGTATCCCTAAACGAATCTCTGCCTCATGCCAACTGCTGCCTTCACTGTCTATGTCTGTATCTGTGCCTCTATCTATGGCTGTGTCTGCATCGCAGTCGAAGTCTGTATCTGCGTCCTAATGAATTTACGCACACGCATCGCCATTGTGCTCCTTAGCGCACAGTGGCACAAATCACACTTAGACCTGATACAATTTGCAATGAAATTGTAGTTTAATAGTTTGACTGCTACAGTGTCCTAAAATATTGAAATATCTTTGATAATATTATCACAATTCCATCTATTTTGGCCCACTGTGTAATTATTTATCAGCTATTTTAGCTTACTGTTTTTTTTTAAATTTAATTTACATTACATTTTGAATCAAGCTATATTTTCTATAAATATTATACAGCACAAGTAAATATATTTGTCTGAGTATTTTATGTAATTTATATTTTTTTTTTATAATATTAATTTTCGACAAGTTTAACCACTGTTCCGCCCACTGTGCAGTGCGATTATATCGTATATTAAGTCATATATTTCTATAAAAATTCATCTCTATTATTTCCACCTGTTTTTGCCCTACTATTTTCGTGCACTTTTCATGCACCTTGACCCACTGTGCTTGGGCGTCTCTGTCGCTGTCTGCGTCATATAAATTGTCCTTTGCTGGTTGCTAGTTGCAGGTTTTTTTCGTGTGCGCAAAATATTCTACGCTGTTGGCCATCCGCAATCCCTCTCCCTGCCTCTGTCTGTCGGCTCATTCATATATCCTCATCGCCATCGTCATCGTCTGTTCGTCTGCCTGGTTTATTGTGTTTGCTGCGCAACATTTTTGGTTGCTTTCAGCTCATAAATCAAAAAAACATTCTACAACAATTGTCTCGAAGAGTCTTCGCGCTGCGCTTTTGTTTGTCCTGTCGTCCCGTAGTCCTTTTGTCCTTTCGTCCTTTCGCCCTGTTGTCCTTTGGTTGTTTGGCTCAACCAATTTGCACGCGCCACGAAACAACACAGCTGCCAGCTCATGCTGCACTCGCCTACCTTGCCCAACTTGCCCAATTTGCCCACCTGCCCTTGACAAATTTTCCCAACAGCTGCAATCAGAAACCCGAAAAACTAACAAAAGGAAATTCCGTTTTCTTCTTCTTGCGATTCTCTTGCAGATCTCCCTCGGAGCGCTCGGGCAAAGGCTGCTGCGGTCAATGGTTTGCCGGACCGCCGCTGCGTGCGCTCATTGCTGTTGTAGCCTTAGGGGGCGTGGCTTGCGCCCTTGGCGGCGCTGCCCTGGGCGCCACAGGTCTGGCCGGGCCGCCCAACTCGCATCTGACTGCCGCGCTGCTTATGATTGGTGAGTAAAGAGCACTAGTAATAAGATTACGTAAGCTATGTGTGTGTGTGTGTGCGTGTGTGTGTGTGTGTGTGAGCCCGTTTATAGACCATATATGACTGCATGTTTATAGACAACAAGGCGAACAATTGATGGCCAACAAAACATTACAAAAATGGCATTAAAACATTTTGTCGACTTTTTTCGCGAGGTTTACACAATTCGTTGTTGTTGTTGTTGCACAATTATAACAGACTTGTTGTTGTTTTTGTTGTTGCTGCCGCTGTTGTCGTTGCTGACCCAGTTGTAAGTACAAACAAATTTTGTTAAGAGACACATCCACAAAATGTGTCAATATTTACAGAGCAGTTAGTTCCGGTTACAAAGTTTTTAGCAGCAGCAACATTGTATGAGCGACAGGCAGAGAGGGAGACTGAGCGAAGTAAGAGAGAGAGATATCTACGGATAGTTTGTAAATATTTTCATTGCTTGTGGTTGTCTATGTTTCTGGGTGGGTGTGCGTGTGTGTGTGTGTGAGTGTTTAGTTTATCATCTATATAGATCTGTGGCAAAAGCTCTTAGATCATTGTCTGTGGACACAGACACACAGAGGGATACACTGACTCAGATATAACCACACATACAGCCAGACACACACACACAGTGTTACACACCCACACCCAACGCACACACATTAACTGCAAGGAAGTTGCTTTACACAACTTCAAATAGACTCTTCATTTGTTTTTGATAAAGAAGAAAGATTGTTTTTTTTTGTTTAGAGTTAATGAAATTAAAATGCCCTAGCAAATATATAGTAACAACATATATAGAAATAAATTAAATAAAATAATATATAAATATGAAAATGTTTTATAAATAAAGAATTGATTAGTATCAGCAGCTGCCTATGCACTTGTCTAGCCTACTGGAAACGGGAGAGCTGCAGCTTCCGAGTATCAGCTTTAAGGGGAAGCAGATAGCTCATGTGACAAGTTTTAGCTAAATTAAAAAAGCGAGACAGCTGCATAGCCGGCTCTCTGGTTACTTTTACAAATCTATATAGCTATAGATCTATAGCTTTTGCTAAGACTTGCAATGCTTTGTAAAGTTTGCAAAGCTCATTCTATTCTTTTTAATGTTATGGTTTTACACCTACTTTTAAATAGATGTAGATCTACGACTGTCCAAGTCTTGTATATGCTTTAAAATCTTGTTTTAAATATCCTTTAATAGAAAAAAAAAGTTATGTGTATAGTATCAATATTTGAAGAATTGTAGAATTTCTGGTCTGCAAAGCTCTGCTTGTTTCTATTATTGTCTTATCAAATTGGGAAGGTAATAAATTTCACATTAGTTACCTCTGATGGGTTCAAGCTCTTTCACATTAATTTTCATATACTTTCAAAGCTCTTGCTTTTCATTCTTGCTGCTCATTCAAGTTTTCTCAGAGCATTCTTGCCCAGTTTTCTTTAGTTAAAAATGAAATTTGAACATACATGAAATTGCAAATTCTTTTGAATTTTCAACAACTTCGCTCAAGATTTCTATGATTGAATCATTCGCCTTCGTTTAGCCACACACTGATGAGTCATACTCAATGGGTTCTCTGGCGCTGGTATTTTCTTTCGCCGTTCGCTGTTCGCTTTGGGCTCACGTAACTCGAAGCGGGGCCAAGTGCAGGTCGAACACGTTGCGGTCGGCGACACAAGTTCCGAGTTGCGTCTTACGGTCGAGGTTTGCGCTTGGGTTTTATGTTTTCGGCTTTCGGTTTTCGGTCTGGGTATGAGCATTACTTATGCATGCGGGGCTCTAATCAATTGCCGGTCGCTTTTAGTTTAGTTTGGGGCTCAGTTGGGGCACTCGAAGCGTGACATTGCGCCATTTTCTGGCGGCAATTACCAAAAATTGTTGAGTTGTAACGCAAAGTTTTACATAATTTAATGGCAATCAAGGCAGCAGTCGTAGCAGTAGCAGCAGCAGCAGCGACTGCCTCTCTACTAAACACATGTTGCCTATAATGGAGACACGCAGGCATCGTCTGCCTCTGCTCCTCCCTGCCCCCTTCCTTTGTCACACTCATAACAGACGCACAAATTATACTCGCGTTTTTTTTTTCAATACCCTAACAAAAATTGATGTATAGGGTATGAGGGCTTAGCAGAAGACCTTGTGGCAGCTAGAGTTAAGAGTGAAATAAATGAATACTTGATTGGAACAACAGATTCGTCATACAGAGAGTATTTTGATACGATTGGAGAAGCAGTTACAACATAGAACGTATTCTGAGTACCTCGTACTAACCCTTCTAGAGAAATTGAAAATTACATTTTTTATATATGTTTTCCAACAGCCACAGAATGGAAGTTAGAATGCATGCAGCAGGAGTCGCTAAAAGACCGAAAACCACAATAACTCGAAGACTTAATGAACTAGAAAGTTCAAATTCAAGTTGAAGTTTCTTGAGGAGCATAGAAATAGCAAAAGTATTTCACTTTTCCTGAAAGTCTAAAGTCTTTGTTCAGCTCATAGATCACTTAGATCAGGGCATATTCGAGTCGACTGTTAGCTAAAGCACTTTTACTTATTTTTTTCTTTCTTGTCGTTGTGCGTTCAGCTTGAGGAGCGCAAATTGCTCATGAAAATGTGCGACAACAACAATAGCAACAACAATAACAATATAATCAACAACAACAACAACAACGACGTCGACGGCAGCAACTGCAAAATGTCGACAATTTCGTCTAATAAAAATGATGTTCACCTTTATTGTTGTCTTTAATCAGCTGCCGGCTGTGGGCCTTAGTCTCTGTCGAAGGTTTCGACTGCGTCGCAAGCAGATGATTCCATGCTCCACTGGCCCCGGCAGCCGTGTCGCTGACCGTGCCACAGGCCGAGCCACAGACCGGGCCACAGCTGTGCTTGTCGAAAGGAAAGCCGCGACTCTGCAGTAAAAGTGAAAGTGCAAGTTGTGGAAGCTGTGCCCCCTGATTAGCACTGACCGTTGCATGCAGCCTACCCTCTCGCCTCTCGCCTTTCGCACCACCCCTCAATTGCTTTAAGCGAGTTGCCACGCCCACACAGCATTTGACGTCTAATTAAGCTTGTGCAGCGCAATTGCAATGAACAAACACTTAATTGAGAGCTTGCCACAACAACTTTTACAAATCGTTTTTACTTTTCAATATATTTTTGTTAAATTTTAGCAAATTTCAATTTTGAAAACTTGTTTAATGAATATTCGCTCGCTTTCAAAGTCTTGGCCGGCATCAAGAGCCAAGTTTATATAATTCTGCTTGTCAGTTCACCTTTGTTAAGCTATATGATTATAAATGCACAAAAGTATAAGAGTATCGGACTAATGGAGTGTAGATGTATAAGAGAAAAAGATTAGAAGACTGGAGGATAATAAGAGTAGAAGAATATATGTAGGCTTCAGGCTACCTCATAAACGGGCACTCCCGACTCACCTCTTGAAATATTATGTACTTGTTCAAAATTGTATCATATGACACAATCATTTTATTTCTCTCCCTTTTTTAAAGGAGTGGGCGTGGTACTGGTCACTGTGAGTGGCGCCGCCTGGCGAATGACGGCGCCCGGTGGTCAGAGCTGCCTCGGCCTCGGTCTGGGCACCAGCGTCGACCTGGCCCGCTGCGGAAGGAGGCCCTGCACCCGAGGAGGCGGCGCACCCCATGGCCTGCTCTATCCGGAGTTTCAGCATAGACCACCGCCGCCCTCCTACCAGGCCAGCATGCAGGAATATCGACTCAGGTGAGTAGAGGAAGGAGCTCGAAGCGCGTGCGGCAGAGTCTCGTGGCTAGGACAGCGCAGCGGATATGCTCGGCTAACCACATCCGCTCGCATGTCCTTGCGCAATTAATTGCATTATGTAATTATACACTGAGCTACAAAATTTCCTGTCAGACGTTTGTGTTTTTTTTTGTTCTCTCCCTCCTTATGGGAGGGAGGGAGGACTGCCTGCCTGAAAAGCTACTTTTTCATAAACATATTTTTTAATGCCTTGACAGCATTGAAAATGGAAATTACAATGTGTGTAAAGGGCAGAGAAACAGAGAGAGAAAGGAAGAAAGAGAGATACTAAAAGAGATAAAGATACATTAAGTACATTGAGTTTAAGATATTTCATTTTAAAGTCAGAGAAAAACGGGGATTATGCAGAAAGTCAGGGTATCTACTAGTCGAGTACTCCCCACACATCACAAGTCGCTAAATTTGTGTATATGACTTTCTTTTCATTAACTTTTGTTCATCATATTAATTCTAAATGTATTTCTAAATATTTTTCAGACTTTTGCTCTTGGATCGCGATCGACAGAATGGAGTGGTGCGTGGCAATTCGCCGCCACCCACATATCGATCTCATGCGGGCAGCTTGTTGAGGTGAGTGTCCATGGCCAGAGCCTTGGCTAGAATAGCTCTCCTGCTCTCCAGCCCCTCCAACTCACACCCTTAGGAATTCAGAAGGTTCGCACACCCCTCGTGAGTTATTTGTAAAGTTTTTGGCGCTGCAACCACAAAATGTTCACAACAACGCCGCACAGTGCGAAACGGCAATAGAAGAGTGCTTGGCGGGGTGGCTTTGGTGGCTGTGGTGGTTGGTTGGGGTTCAGCTGAAGCGTTGGCGGCTTTCAGCTTTGTGCGGCTGGCGCTGGGTGCCAACCGCATTGACACATTGCTTGGGGTTGCCCCACCAGAAAAAAGTTTATTTTAAACAACTTTGGGAGCCTGTCAATAGCTAAATTTGTTGTTAGAAATGATTTTTGCTTGATATCGAGTTGGGCGCCTGACATTTGCAACTTAATTGAATTGAGCAGGAGGCAACGGGCGGGAGACACTCTACTTCAAAACAATTTAAATACTAAGCGAAGGGACAAGGAAGTCAGGCATAAATTGGAAACAATTGAATGGGAGGCAGGAAGTGAGGGAGGACAGGCGACACGGCGAGGGCAGGCAACATAATTGCTGCTTTGATCACACAATGTTGGCTAATTAGAAAAGTTTACTTTTATTGCCTACAAACAAAAATATCGAAAAGCCCAAAAGCTGAAAGTCGAGGCCGTAAATTCACGCGCTGCTAGGCACACTGTGTTTCGCAGTGAGTATTTGAGTGCTGGAGTAGCCCACTCATGAATGTATTCACGAAGACAAATGCAAATTTATGGCAAATTAATTTGTTTATAATGATGCCACAAGGCCACATGCACTCAAATATTTATGTCCGATAATGGAAATGCAAAGACAACAGATGCAATAAGGACTTTGTAATACATATAAGAAGCTTACGAGCTGCGTCCAGTCCACAGACGCAAAGAAGCACGAAATAATTCAAATTTTAGCAAGACAACAGAGTGAGAGGTAGAGAAAGGAAGGGAAAGGGAGACGGACAGTGAGTATGATCGACTTTTAGATATTGAGACATGAAAGCAGTTGGATTTTATGATAAGACTTGGATAACTTTGGCTTTGACTCAAAGTGTTGGGAGGAGTAAGAAATGTTATAGAAGTAGAATATGTTTAAGACTTTATATAAGAGTTTGACTAAAGGTAGCTTAGATTAGGAATAAAGGAGTTTGAGACTTCATTTAAGACTTTGATTATATAAACAATGCAGATTCTTAGTTTTCCAAGAGCAACTTGGGGATTCTATAGACTACTTACAAGGGACCAACACATTCGTATAGCTTTTTCTCTTTAGTATATGTGGATGCATATAAATTCAGAGCGAAAAAGTTCTTGAAATGGGTATTAACAAATAGACAAATGAAGAAGTCTTGAGTATTACTCGCCTAACTTATATGCCCGCTACGAAAAAGCTCCTCAAGGGGCATCAGCAAGTGCCAGAGAAATATGTCGGAAGGCAAAAACTTATGCAAAGTGTGTGTGGCAGCGAATCAGAGCGGGTGTGTATGAGTGTGTGATGGCATATTCAAATATGATGTAAGATGCGAACAAAGAAATCTGTGAAATTTTACAAAATATTTACACACACACGCGCACGCACACACACACACGCACACACACTTGAAGTGGAGTTTGCGATGCATAACAAGCAGGCGGCAGCGGCGTGTGTGTTAAAAGGCAATCTGCGAAAGGCAGGCCAGAATAGGCCAGAGTCTGGGCAAAGATTTGAGCAAAGCCTAGAGGGAGACAGAGAGATAGAGAGCGAGTGAGGGAGAGGGAGAGCGGCATGAACAATTGCCAGGCAAAGCTGTTAGCCAAGTCAATTAAACAAACAAAGACAGAGCCAACAGAGTCGAATGTCTGTGAAAATTGCCTGTTAGGCTAGAGATAGAGCGACTGACAGGGAGAGATAGAGATGCGAGAGAGAGAGAGAGATGATAGTCCTTGCTTACTTAGTATGCCTGACATTCGCATTTCCTTACGCATTTTGAAATCTTTTGTCGGCAACAATTAAATGCAATTTTACATACTTCAAATTGCTTTATGCAATTTGCATTTTGGGCCCAAGCCGAAGAAAGAAACTTTCAATTTTCCGTGCTTTTGACTCTGACCTGACGCACGGACTCGACTGGCAACAATTGGCCGAACGCCTTTTGTTATTTAAATTGACAAACTCAAATATGAAGCGATAGAGATCTGTTTCTGCATTGACTTTGTCTCATGTTTTGCCAACTGAAATGCGACTTAATCCCAACTCAATTTCCTTCTCCCTTCGCAGAGCACCTTTGAGCACCTTGCGTGCTGGCATGGGCGGCGGTGGCGGCGGCACCATCAGCAGCAGCATGGGTGGCTCCGAGTACAGCTTGCCGCCCAGCTATCGCTCGCGCAATGCCACGCCCGCTGCCCTCGAGCGTACCATTGAGACGGCGCCCTCCGGCCGCCTGCTTGCCAACGAGGATCTGCCGGAGCTGTCCGCCGAGCAATTGCCAGACTACAGCGCGCTGCAGTCGAACACATTGCTCACCTCGGCCATTGTGGAGATCGAGGCCAGAAGCCAGGAGCAGCAGGCGACGCCAACGGCGACGACAACGAAGACGACGACGGCAACCAACAAGGGCAAAGGAGATCTAGTGACAATTGTGACCATCTCCCAGGCGGATGTGCATACGGCCAACAGAGCCCAGCCACAGGTAGCTGACCAGGTGAACACGCTCGATCAGATCGACATATTGGCGCACCTGTAGCCCAGCTCAGCTAACACTTAAGCATATTTTTTGTTTGTTAAACTACTGAAACACTCGTTAACCCAAAGGTATTTATTTCTACGATACGAAACAGAAAAGAAAAGAAAACTCTGCTCCTAAATGATAAACGAAATAACTTTGATATCTAGATATAAATAAGCAGCATTTAGCTAAGATATATATATATACTATATGTTTGTTGTACTTGAATGTGTTGAATTTATTTTTGTATAGCATATAAGGAAATGCTGCGAACTAGCTCTTATATATATATATATATATATATATATATATATATGTATATGTATATATATATGTATATATATATATATATATATGTATAATATGTGTGAAAGTATTAAGAGAAGAATATTCGAGCAACAAATCCATAATCCCAAAATACTAAAAAATATATCAAAGTCTTGTAAATATTTCGAGTGCATGCATTAAGTGTAGATTTTTGCTCCACTATCCAAATATATATATATATATCAAATATATAGAATGAATCTGGTGTAAATTCGCAACGGAACGCTACGGTGACAAATTTTGCGCGCATTTTCGATAGAACGAATCGAACGGAAACTGAATATGAAAACTGATTTCTGAATGCGTTTCAAACAAAACAAAAAGTAAAAATAAAAATAAAAATAATAATAAATAATTAATAACTAATGAAAAGAAAATTGAATAAACTAAATTAGAAATTGTAGCGCAGTTGTTATCTGATATGGATCGTGCATAAGTACAATACAGTTAGTAAATACTATATATATATGTGTGTATTCTATATAGTATATATAGATATGCTAAATATTAACTTAAAGCCCGCTGCTGGCTGAAATAAACTAAAAACCAAAAACATCTGCAAAAACAAAATGTAATGTTGATAAAATGCCACAAAAACCGCAAATTGTTTTTTTCTCTCTCGACGTTTTCCGCCTGCCAGAGTTCAGCAACAAAAGGGCGTGGTACGGTCGCCCCCGCCTATTACACACACAGTCGTATGGGCTGCTTAATCTAGCGTAAAGCTTGCGTATTGGCCACGGGCCCTTGCGTAGGCCTTGTCAGTGGGGTCCAGCGATTAACACCCGGCACGCAGAAATGTGGAGCGAACACACAGAAATTGACACCTTCTGCCATTGGCGAGGAAAATGGCATGAAAATCGCCTCGGAAAATGCCAAATGAACAAACAACAAAAATTGGTTGAGCATGAAATTGCTCTCGGCTCTCGCGCGTGTGTGTGTGTGCGTCAAGTTAAGCCAAGTCCGTTGCATGCTTTTGAGCTGTTCACGAAATACGTCAGAAGAGTTGATTGTGCGCTGCTGCGACTAAGCCTCGCCGTTTAAAATTTCTGTAGCATACTTAAGCGACTGCTGCTGCACGGCCGCAAGGAGTCGCTGCTTAGGCGCCAGCCACGACGTGACAAGACAAACTGAAAACTGCTACTCAAGATAGGGATAGACTTGGCGGTAAATGGAACTTACTTCAAATGAATCCTCGTTGATTGAGGTCTCCCAATTTGAGCGCCGATCGAAAGAACTCAAAGGTACGTAGTGAAACTGAAATATAATTTGGGAATCGGGCGACTTTTTGTTGCCAACTTACAGTCATGTAAAGTTCAAGATACTTGCTGAATAATTCACAGAATTTCGTTGACTGCAAATCGATACACCATGAAAATCACTCCTCTTATGGCCTGTACAAGTCAAGCACAAGGAAAGGTTCAACTTTCCGATTCCGCCCGATTTTGGCCAATGCCAATTTAGCCTGAATTGAGTTTGTTGAAATTTGGACATTCTTGGCCTGGGAAAATAATTTGAATATTATATTTGCATAGGGTAAAAACTTACTGAAATTAACGCGAAAAAGATTTCGAAATTTATTGATCAGCTAATTTAGTATAAGGTACAATCAATTAAGACAATCTTGTTTTACTTTACAACACAAATTTTAGTTTGAATTTGAATTCTTTAAAGGATTTCATTAATTTGTCGATTGCGCTTCGATTGACCAAGGATATTGGATTTATACATATGTTTATTACTTTAGCAATTTGAAATCCTTTTTGCGCGGCTTGTGAACAGCAACATTTTCTCACTTGAAACTAAATAACTTTTGTGAAATACATTCAAATATATATAATAAGCATAAATCTTCGTATATAATTCGATTATGTTAAGATGAATAAATAATATATAAATATAGGGTGTGGATAGTTGGACATACATATATATATATATATGATTATATATATATATATATATATATCTATATATATATATATAGATGAGTGCTGCTGTTGGGAACTAATTCGATTTCGTGTCGTTTACAATTTTTGATTTTTTTCTTTTTAAAATTAGGATAACAGTTCAAAAAAAAACAAGTTATAAAGGAAATTACGTAATATTAAATAGGCATCATTTACTTTGATTAAGAACTGTTGCTTTTATAATCGTGCTGCTTTTATTGTTGTTGTTGTTGGTTATTGTAGGTTGTTGGTTGTTAGTGTGCATAATCCCTGAAGTCCATAGTCGAGCCATATACAATAAGATCTGTGACTGAGCTTAGCGCGCATGATTCTTGCAGAAGGGACGACCGCCCTTATTGTAGAAGCTCTGACCCTCCAGGTTTTGTTTGCAGAACTGTAGCAAATCACAGATTAGATACTTCAATCGACCCGTATACAGAAATACTTACAGTGCAGTTGAAACATTGGCTATGATAGTTGTGGTTGAGCGCCTCCACCCATCTGTCGCCTGCTTCAACAGGGAAGCCGCAAGCGAAGCACTTGGTAGTGAATAGCTCGTTCCAATCAGCCTCGCAATATGCATTGCCATCCTCTAGGAAGAAGGGCGTGTTGCCAAAGATCTTGCCGCACTGGCCGCAAGTGAAGCACTCCGGATGGAAGTGCTTGCCAATGGCATTCAAGCAATCACCCTGCCACAGGAAGGAGAGGGAGAGAGAGTTAGTGCGTCGCTCTGAGAGGATAGCTGAGCGCTTACCTTGATTTTGCCAGCGCATTTGCTGCAGGTGGGCGCCAGATACTTTTCGAAGCAATACTCGCAGTAGAGATCGCCCTTCTCTTCAACGAAGCCAATGTCCTGCAGCGGACGACGGCAGTTGCCGTTCACGCAAATGAAATGGTCCGGACACCAGATGCGACCCAGAGCCGTAATGAAGGGTCCCCTGCAAAAGCATGATTCAAATACCAGCATTAAGTCAAGGAAAAGCCAAAGGGAAAGAGTAGAGGGTTAGGCGGGCGTAGGCTATTAGACAATCTACTTACGATGTGATCTCCTTGTTGCACTGGCAGCATATGGGGCGCTTACCATCCTTGAGCAACTGACTTACGGCCTTTTCGTTCTCCTCCGACATGGGTCCTTGAGCATCTCCCAAGGCCCTAACACAAACGCTGAACTTGGGAGCACTGCCTTGCGTGTTGTTGCTATCCTTGCTATTGCTGCTGTTGTCGCTGCTGTTAGAGCTCTGCTTGGGCTCGATGTAGGAACGACGATCGGCAGCATGCGTAGCATCTGTGCGTCTCAGATTGTTTCTAAAGGCAACAGGCTCGGGTGTGGGCTGCTCTAGGCTCGGTTTGCCACTATCACAGATATCGAGGATCTTGCTCATTGGATGCTGTGCTGGCAGCTCGAGCTGCAGCGTCTGCTCCACTCGTTCCACTTGGGGCTGTGCCTTCTGTTTGCCCATTTCTATTGGCAGATGCTTCTGTTGCTGCACAGGTGCTGGCGGAGGCGCCACAGGCACAGCCACAACTGTCTGCAGAGCCACAGGCTGGGTGGGATCAATGTGCTTAAAGTCGTCCAGATCGAGACGCTTGCGCACTATCATCGGACTCTTTGTCAGATTTGAGCTGCTGTTGCTGCGCAGACTCAAGGTGCTGCCCGCGTGTGAGGGCGTGCCACTGTTGGCAAGTCGCGCCTCTAGCATATTGGAGATGATCTTGCCTGCCTCCTGCATAAACGCAGGCGTCTGCTCGCCCATATCCATGCGGCCTATAGACTCGGTCAGCATGGCTGTAGCATCTGCTTCGATATCTGTGGTTGCCGCCTCCTCGTCAGTTGCTCTCTGAATGGGGCGTGGCAGCGTGGCATTAAGATTAGCATGCGAGACTTTTGGCTGAGCAAGCGAGGTTTGCGCTGCGGCAAGGGGTAATGGAACGATAACAAAAAACAACAAACGAAATTTGGTTAGCGATCACAGTTCATGCAAGGGATTAGGCTGAGACTTAGGTTTAATTAGCAGACAATCTGAGATTGATCAGAGCTGTGTCAGCCAAGGTGTAGACATAAAGCAAACGAGTCAGAAATCATGCGAAGAAGTAGCATTTGATCGTAGGAGATTCAGCTCCTATATCAGCTGTGAGTTAGGAGGGATTTCAAACACGATCATGAGAACTGGAACTGTAAATAAATTAGTGCAAAGGATTCATCAGTGATTAACAATTATCTTAGATCTAGAAGCCAATTGGGAGGTAAGTAACTTGGCGATGCACTGGAGACTCCAGTTGGATAAAAAACAACAACAAGAACTTGAAACATCAGTGGGCATTGTTCACCTGATCTGCACATTGCAGCTGTTGCAGAGTGGGATGCGAACGCCTGGTCCGGCGGCCTTGTTGAGGATGCCACGTCCACGTTTTGGTGCCGAGGTGGCACCAAATGCTCCAGCCTTGCCACCAGCACCTGCGGAACCATCAACATTAGAGTTCAACTCGCTTAGATTGGGCGGAAAGACGGGTGGCGCAACTGTTGTTGTTGTTGGCTTTGGCGCCGAAGCATTTGGCAGCTTGGCCAGCGCAGCTGTTAATGTAGAGCCCGTGGCTCCGGAGCCTCTGAACTGTGCACAGGCTTGATTATTAGTTGTGGTAGTAATAGCAGAAGCTTTGGTTAGACTCGCCGACGATTTTGATGCTGATGCTGATGCAGATGTTGATGCAGATGTGGATGTAATTGCTGAAGCTGATGTTAGCGATGAGCTCAGCTGCTGTTGCTGAGTTGAAGAAGTTGACTTGAAGGCCGACCTCTGTTGCAGTTGTTGTTGCTGCTGCTGCTGCTGCTGTTGCTGTTGCTGCTGCATGAATCCAGGTGGAGGTCCTAGAAGCTTAGCACCTGCGGCCACACCTGGTGAATAGTTAGGTGCAGGTGCTGCAGCTGTAGCTAGGTGCAGAGGAAACTTGTCCTCAAAGGTGGGCGAACGCAGCTGTGGAAAGCTGCTCTCACCTAGAGTAGAGGCCCGCGCGCTAATGGCCTGAGACTGAGTGGTCAAGCTGCTGATTTCCTGCTCTAGGCCAGAGAGGCGACGCGCTTGATCCGCCACAAAGCCTGTGCGTCCATAAGACGAACGACGCTCCGTCGACTCCGACTGGGATTGCGATTGAGCTTGCGACTGCGATTGAGACTGCGACTTCAACTGCGACTGCGATTGCAGCTGAGATTGCGACTTCAACTGTGTCTGGGAGCTGGAGCCTGTGCGTATCTCAATGGTCTTGGCGCTTTGGGTGTGCTCGAATTCCTCAGTAACCTTGCGCCTGCGTTCGATCTGTGTATTGCCAATTTGGGTCTTGGTCTGGCTTTGAAGTTGCGATTGGTTTTGCTCCTGCAGCTGCGAGGACTGCTCGCGCTGCTGCACGTTGACGTTGCCTATTCTCATCTCTGTCAACTTCTCGGGCTGCTGGCTGTAGCTCTGGCTAGCTGACTGCGAGCTGAGCTCTGAATGGGCCAGTAGCTGACCCTGATAGCTCTGGCCCGTGGTGATGGAGCCCGCCTGGAGACGTGGTCCTCCGACTGAGAGCAGCTGAGACTCCGATGGATCCTTCATGCGTGGTGCTCGTATGGCTGAGAGCGGATTCGGTGGTGGTCCGGGCGCTGGGGAGCGTGCGCGATCTGGAAAGGGTGAGGCAGCACGTTGATCATAGTCACGTGCATGCGTAGCGGGGCACTCATCAAAGCAGAGCTTCTCCTCTGTCTGATAGAAGGGTATGATCGGTGCCGGCTTGTTGATCATCGAACAGACGGACGAGCAGGGCGTATACGGTCGAGTGGGTGTCAGCGACTGATCGGGCCGTTCATATTCATCTAGTGATTGAAAAGCCATCGTTACTGGACCCGAACGATCTTCTATTATGATGGGCACCGACGGCACGACGGGCACCACTGGCTTACCCACCGAAGCAATCGAGCCTCGAGCAGCCGTCGATGCCGCCGAAACCTTTGCAATGGGTCTGTGTACAGTCTCTGAGCTGGCATTGGTCGCGGTCGCCGGCTGCTTGGGTGCATCTACGAAAGCAAGCGGCACATTCTCGCGCAGCTCTTGTGGCTCCGGTGTGCGTATGGGGCTCTGGGTGGGCAGCACTGTCCAATTGCGCTGATATTTGGGTATGGCATCCGCCTTATGCAAACCGGACTGGACGGCTTTGCCTTTCAAATGGCTGAGCGGGGATGGTGGCGGGAATAGTACTTCAGAGTGCTCGAGCTCCTCAGCGGTTTCCTCGATCAGTTCGTGGGCATCGAACTTGCAAGCAGTATTTACAGCTGTCTGATTGGTGGTGCAGGAGGAGGTGGTCAGGTTGGTGCTAGCTGAAAAGGAGGACCGACTGCTGGCCTGAACATGAGACTGGACTTGAGCCTGAGCCTGGGCCTGGGTCTGTGTTTGGGCGACGTAAGCAGAGTTGGAGGTGGACTTGTTGCTGTTGTTGTTGTTGTTGTTGTTGATGTTAGACTGATGGACTGTGGAAGAGGAGTTAGAGGAAGCAGTCGCAGCATTCGCATTCAAATTAGACGAGTTTGTCTCTGAAAGTTTCATCTGTGTTTGATTTTGATTGAGCTCCTCTTCCTTTTTGTGAAAGTAGTCGAGTCGCTTTTGATTGCGCTGCTGCGCCTTGCAGTACTTCTGGTACTCAAGATCGTTCTGTTCTTTCGATAGGGAATTTGAGACGTTGGACGTGGAGGAATTGGAGTTGGAGTTGGAGTTGGTGTTGGAGGAGAGTGGTTCGCGAGACGGCTGGAATGCTTGCATGGCCGCAAATGCTGAGGATTTGCGAGGCTGTTGAGGCTGCGTTTTGAAGTACTCCACAGACTCGGGTGGCTGGGGCTTGATGCCCAGTTCCTCCTCATGATCCAGCACCTGAAATTCATACTTCTTTAGTTCCTGCTGTTTTTGCTCCTCATCACGGCGCTGCGTCGCATTCTCGGGATTGAGTGGAGTGTAGCCACGTTCAGGCGCTGTGCAGAGCGCATCGCACATGCTCAGATGCTCCTTGGGTGTGGGCAGGTCTATCATATGGATGGGTACGTCCCGATCGAAGTGGCCCTCAAAGGGACGCTCCGGTGCCGTGGTCAAGGCGCTCACAAACGGACTCTTCGGACGATAATCTTCGCGCATATACGGTTTCATGTCCATGGGCGGTGGCATATAGGGCACTGTTTCTTCGGGTAGTGGAACGCCCTCAGCTGCTGGCGGGGCAAAGCGGACTGCAAACTCCGGCGCTGTAGCCATAGCCTGACTGAGTCGATTGCCGCGAGGCGGGGACTCACGCAGCAGCTGAATGGCATAGGCATCTACGGCAGCAGTTGGAGCGGCAGCTGGAGCTGGAGCCGGAGGTGGAGGTGGAGCTGGTGCAGGAGGTGGAGCAACTGCAGCTTGTAGAGCTGCCTGCTCGGCGGCCTCTTCGGCTGCAGCTGCCTCCGCCTCGAAGTTATCGTCGCAAGGCCTGGGAATCGGACACTCCACTAGGTGGAAAGGCACCTCCGGCGCTGTGGTAAGCACACGAATCATGGGATTAATCCATTCCTTGGGCATGGGGTTGGGTATCTTGGAGGGTGGTGGCCGCTGACGCACGGGCGCTATTTCAATCTTAATCTCTGGCGTTGCCTGAAACATGCGCTCGCTCTCGAGTATCTGGCAGCGCTGGTCAATGATGAGGCCCTCACGATCTTCGGCCGACTCGGGTATCGTCTCCAGCTCAGTGTGCAGCTCCTTGATCTCGGGCTCATCGTTGAAGACCACGTGACGAGCAACTGGAGCTGCAGCTGGAGCTGGGGCTGGAGTAGGCACGGGACTGGGTGTCACCTCCCTTACCATATCGATTAACTTGTAGGTGCTCAATGGCGCTGAGAGCGAATCGACGCATTCCTGAGCACTGCGCCTGCCCGAGGCATAGTCCTGCGCGTCCTGCTCCAACTGGTAGTCCAGCTCGGAGCCGGATTGTTCATAGCACGCCTGCTGCATTTGATAGGCCTGCAGCTGGGCAGCATACATGCGCTGATATTCCTCCGAGGTGGTTGTTGTGGTTGTCGATGTGGACGTATAACTGTCCGAGCTCGACTCTTGTTCCAGCTGAGTCTGCTGCACACGCTGCTGCGTCAGCTGTGGCGCCGAGTAGCTCTGCCACTGTGGCGCTTGCTGGGACTTGTTCGCCTGCGGCTGCTCCTGCGGCTGTGGGTCGAGGCGTGAGCTGGCACTGCCCGGCGGCAGCGGAGGCACCTCCTGCACAGGATTTGCCACCACCACATGCTGCGTTTCGGGTGGTGCTATATAGAGTGGTGCAGCTGTTGGTGCTGCGTGACCTTCGTCCTGTGGCGGAGGCCACGAGAAGCTGGTGCCATGCGAACGACGGCTAGCAGCTAAGGCAACCTCGACGTCCACCTCATAGCATTCCTCCTCGTATTGCGGCTGCAAGCCTTCCGCCTCCAATTCTGGGCGTTGAGTGTAAGGGGTGCAGGGGCGTGGCGGGGGCAAAGCAGTGGTTAGTTGGGCGAGGGCGGGGCAAATATAAGAGCAGAAAGAAATAAAATGCATACGCTTGTTAGTCGTTGGCACTGTGCAAAGCGGCGGCGGCGGCGGTGGCGGAGGCAGCGGCGGAGGTGGCGGAGACGGCGAAGCAGAAGCAAAGTCGAAGGTGAAGGCTGAGCTAGCGAGATGACAAAAGGCGGCGCAAACAACAAAAACAACAGGAAAATAAAGCGAAGCTAAACTAACTACAAGTGGCAAACAGCCCTTGCCCTTGCCCTTGCCCCTGCCTTTGCCCATGTCCATGCCCATGAGTCAAGACAATTCAGCTAAGCTGCTTAGCGGAGCAGCTCAGCTCAGCTCAAGCTAAGTATCAACTCCTTCAGTAAAACAAGAAAACAGACAACACGTTTACATGTGTGTTTCAATTAGTGTTATTCCAAATACTAAATGTGTGCATAAAGCTGCGACTGTGTGAGAAGTGTAAAGCAACTGCCAATAGGCTGAGACTGCAGCTGATTTGATAGAGCTTAAACTTAATCGACTAAAGCTGCGTATACGCAATGTGTGATGGAATAAGAACAGCGTGGCAATGTGTAGAATAAACATAAACTGTCTGTCAGCAAGTTGAAAGAACTTTCACGTAGTGTGTGGCAGGTAAAACTGACTCGAGACTAAAGATTGAAGTGGCCTAAACGGCCACGCTAACGCGGCGTATACTTAATGTGAGACGAACTAGAAGCAAAGCAGTAATGCGTCATATATATAATCGGTCTAGTGCGAAGAAGCTAAAGCTGACTGAGATATGAGCTCATTGGACAGAGGCAGGCCAATGGCGAAACGTTGCGTATACGCGATCTGAGCCAAGCATATATATGAACCTATTCGTAGAGCAAGATTAAACAGCGAGCGTGTACGCAATATGCACAGCAATTATATATATTCTATATATATACACATACAGATATGTAATCAGTCGTCGTCGTTGTCGTCACACATCAAAAAACATAAACAAAATATCCATTGCAATATAAAAAGAGCTGAAATACAGACAATACTGTTTGCCCGGGCAAATAAATTTTTCATTTCTTATTTTCAGGCCATTTTCATGGCGCAACAATAAACAGAGTGTATATGTGTGTGCGTGTGTGCTAGACACACTTGTGTGGCTGTGTGTGTTTTATTTTTTATGTTCCTCAGGTTGGGGCTGGGCGCTGGGCGCCGAGGTCTCACGTCTGTGTACAAGAGCCAAAATGGCGACGACAGGTAGTCATTGGCTTTTATTATGCATAATTTCATATTGACTGTAATTTTGCAGAAATTGAAAATGGCAACAGCACACGCACACACACACACGCACACTCACGTACAATAGGTAAGCATAAAGTCGCTTATAGAATTATAGCAAATATTTTATATCCAAAAAGTTGGCAATAAACATAATGAGAGAGAGGCAAACCCAAGGAAAAAGTTTCACTTGGTACATCGACTATATATATAGAGATATATATGTATGGATAGACCTTAGGCATGCAAAGTAGAGTGAGATATAGAGATACACATACATAGTATATGCGCATAGATAGATTGGCAAATGCTGATGCGCTGTTAGGCGAGAAGCGTTTAGTTAGAGAGTACATAAATGGCTTATGTAGAATACAGATACATATATATATAGAGAATCTGATAAGATTTATTGAAAGTTTCGTTAAACAACTGTTAAATAACTGATATATTTATATATATATGTTTAGGTTTAGGTGTAGATTTCGAAATATTTTCCAAAAAGAAACTCCAACAATTTCATCAGCTTTGCCAAAAAAGGGACTTTGCAATTTGTGCGCTAAGTTTTTGTTTCTAATAGGTATATTGGTAACCGTAACCTAGAAAGAAGAAGAAGAAAGGCCAAACCAAGATTGATCAAAATTGTGTATGTATATATATGGGTAAATACGAGAAGTGTTTCAGATAAATTTCTTTTGTCTCTTCTTGCTACTCGAGCATAATAGTTGAGCAGCCAAACAAAACGAAGATAATAAATAACAGGGAGTTAAGATGGGGCACGACTTCCGCTGAGACTTTGAGGAATTCAAGGCATTTGATGCATGAAACCATGACACGCTAAGCGAGAAAGAGAAAGAGAGAGAGAGAGTGAGGCAGAGAGAGACTGAGAACGATATCAATAGGGAGCTTGAGGCAGGCTGAGCGTACAGGATGTCAGGCTGTTTGGATAATAATGACTGGTAATTTATCTGCCTTCGTTTACATTGTTGTGTGTGTGTTGGTGTGTGTGCGTGTGCGTGTGCGTGCGTGTCGGAATGTGTGTAGTACAAACATTTGTTTTCCAGCCCCTGCCACTTCTCGCTGTGGGATTTGCCAACTGGATTTGTTTTTATGTGTGTTTTTGGCGGCTTTTGGCAGCTGCTTTTAGCGGCATGCCGCCAACACAGCAAAACCAAAAAAAATGCCAAAAAATGTGCCGGGTTAATGGCTGCGGTTGTGCGTGATTCACGCTTTGATTAGGAGATTGATTTTGATTTCTGATTGCAAAGCTTGGCACGGCTCAGCCAAGGTGGCAGGTGAGACCTGAGGCTGCGAGCAATTCGTCTCTAAGTGAGATGAAATATATATAAATCAGATATATATACATATATATGTATTTGTAGAGCTATACAGTGAGCTCTGGCAGCTTCCTTTACGTATGTAATAATTGCATTTTTAATTGCGAGTACAGAACAAGAAGCAGTCGAGAATATTGGACTCATAAATTGCATTGTTACCATTTTGGATTCGTTGGCCGCGCCAGCCATATTTGCTGTTAATTCATTTCCGTTATGACAGCCAACAACAATGCTCGAGCGTAATTGATATACAAGCACACAAGCACACACACACACATGCATACACATGCATATGTCAGCATATGTATGTATGAGCGAGTGCCTGGACTCGGTGCATATAAAGAAAAATGTATGAAATTCGTGTTTGCAGAGAGTGAAGCAGACGAACCTGAGCGTAAGAGGGAGCACAGCTACAGTGCGTGCGAGCTATAAAGCTCGATTATCGAATTATCTAACAATTATCTACAGTGAGTGTTGGCTATAAAGACACACAAGCTGCTGGTTTAGTATTCACCACTTGCAAATTGACCGCAAAATATTTGATTTCTTTTGGTTTTGGAGTCAAGTGTGCCTTAACTGCTGGCAGTCAGTGTCTGTACAGTGACTGTTGGCTATAAAGGCACAAGAGCCTTAACTACTGGCAGTCAGTGTAAGCAAGCAGCGGCAAATTCAGTGACTGTTGGCTATGAGGCCTCACTCAATAGATTCCAAATTTGTAGTCCTTTGATCGCAACTCTTACACATTTTTCATAGTGTGCATTAGCCCTTAGTGGTCACTGTACTCTGCTTGCCTGCACACACACATACATACATACACACATACACACATTTATATATTTAATATTTGCCTTGCATTTAATGTTGTGTGTGTGGCGGGGCAACCGCAGTTATTGCAACGTTGCAATGCTGAACCGAAATACATTTTATAGCATGTACATGCGAGTGTGTGTGTTTGTGTGTGTGCGTCTGTGTGTGCATGAATTGTTTCGCTGTGCTGCATTACGTATACGCAACGTTCGCTTGGTTTTTGGGTTTCGGGGCCTTTTGGCTTTCAGTTGAAATTCAATGTGCCGGAAGCGCTGCAATCGCAATCGCAATCGCAATGGCAATCGCATTGACATTGAAATGCTGAAATGCCACGCCCCCTTCCACCTTGCCCCTGTCACTGTACGCACAGCTCTTTCGCTTATCATTTATAATTTCCCGTCTGGCCATATTATAACTTATTTACTTCACAGATTCTTTTGTCAAAACTCGATTGAATTTTGATTCCGTCAGCGGCAGTCAAAGCTTGTGGCAAGTGTTGCAAGTGTGGCAAATGTTTGGCAATTAACTAAAGTGCAGCAACAAATTCAAAAATCAACTAAGAACATTTCAGTCGACCGGCACCGACTGACCGATACTCGTTCATTATGCAAGAGTTGTCAACGCCGAGCTCTAAGTGAGATCTAAACTGGGTGAGCTGGGACTCAAGTGCTGACAAGCTTGAAAGCTGCTTAAGCGTTAGTCATCAAAGTGGGCGGGGCTATACATAAGTCGACTTCAATCCACAGAGATAAGAAGTCAGTTACTTGGCCAACTGTTGTAGTTCTAGCTGTAAGCCTGTGGCTAAGCTAAGTTTGGCTGCTAATTGTATTCAAGGCTCGTTTATGGGAGCTCTAAGTATTGAATACCGTTTCTAGGCTTATAGATTATATAAGTTATAGTTATGCCCTCCTAGCCAAGTCTTCAGGTAGGTCTATGCCAAAGCAGTCAGCTATACACTAGCTGTATGACTTGCTATCTACCTGTGCTTTCAATGCTCTCACTTCGAATGGCAAACTGAGACGCAGACGGACGTTGAGTCAGACTAACATATCAACTAATATGCCCCAGTTGCAACACGTGAACGAGTATCGCAAAAAACTGAATCAACTACGCGCTGCAAATGTTGCTTAAAGCCTGTTGCTGCTGCTGCTGCTAGTTGCTGTTGGCAACAATTGCTGTTTACCTCGATTGTAGTTATTGTTGTTATAGATGTTGTTGTTGTTGTTGTAGGATTGAGTCTGTGTGTTATAGTTAGGCAGTGTAGCATATTTATTGCTCGATCCAATCGGGTAAGAGTTTCTATATTGCTGCTTCTGCTGCTGCTGTTGTTGTTGTTGTTGATGTTGTTGATAATGTTGCTGCTGATGTTGTTGCTGTTGTTGCTGTCTGTTGAAGCTATTGTACCTTTGTACAGTGCGACCTAAACGTATAGACACACATACAGACACATAGACATTTATATATAGAGGAATATATACACAACGCAAAAATTGTCTCTTGGGTCGATTTCATTTTTGCGCCTTTGCCAAAAAATTGTTATTCAAGCAGATTTTTCGGGTTCTATTTTTTTCTTTTTTTTGAGGTTAGTTTTGGTTTTAAGTTTATTTTGACTAGAAAAAAGTAGTTTGTGTGTTTAGCTTAACAACAAAATTTGTTTTGATTTATACACATTTAATACGCTTGGGGGCATCGTGGGTCGGGGCCACACAAGCAGCTAAGACTTGCCAGAGATATATATCATGTAGTCTATATACAGAGAGTGGGGCAGAGACAAAGAGCGTGAGAGAGAGAGAGGGGAGGGGGAGTATATATAACACGCCTGTTTCTGTTTTAGCTTTCTGGCTTCTGGTTTCTAAACCCATTCACCTTCTGACTGCGACAAATACTCATCATCAGCTGTCATCGTCATCATCTTACCTTGTTGACCAACATTCGAGCGTGGCAAAGTGGCGTAGGCATTGCCACCAGGACGCTGCTGCTGTTGCTGCTGAGGTGGATAGGAGACCGGCACCGGCGACTTGGGCGCTGCCGCTGGCGGCTGAGAGGCGCCATAGGGACGAGCGTAGCCCTGATTGACCTGAACAGAGCGAGAGAGAGAGAGATCAGATTAATTAGATTTAATTAGAGTTCTCTTTACGGCTTTGCCCAGCTGTTTCTCATACATAAACAGAAAAAAATTTAAATTGAAATTAGTTGAAAATCATTTTAAGTATATAAAGTATATAAACTAATTGCTGGCAGACACTGCAGCTACAGCACTAAATAAAAGAGATGTTATTATTAGTAGTTGAAAAACGTCTAATACTTTTCAGTTACAGTGAATACGAAACATAACAAAAAATATTTTAAAAATTGATTAAAATTTCTCAAGTTCTCATAAGAGACACTGCAACTGTAGTCACTGCTAGATATAGAAATACTCAATATTTTTGAACTGTTTCTGAAGAGGCTACACAGCTGTATGTCACTTGCTAGCAGTGAGCGTCTACAGTGCGTGCTAGCTATAGACGCACACCAGCTGCTGACAAGCTATATGGAGACTGTTCCAAGCGCTACTCAACGATGAAAATCTCTTAAACAAATATCAACCCAATATATAAGTTGTGCAAGTGCAGTGTTAGACGGTACAGACAGGTACAGTGTCTGCCAGCTAGACTCTTACTCTTGCAATTCAATTGAATGGCAACAAACATTAGCGAGTTAGACATAAAAACATTTAACACTTTGGCAGGCTTTGCTTGCTTAGTTCAGCTCGCAGCGATGGGCGAGGGGGAGTGGGAAGGGGCGGGCGCGGTTGGGGCGTTTAGTTTAGGCTTACTTACCCGATAGCTGGCCGAGGCATTGCCCTTGCCGGGCGGCTGCACGCTGCGTATTACATTTCCGGTCAAGGTGACATACTCGAACGGCTGATCAGAGCCGCTCGCTGCCGATGTCTGCATCGAGGGAACTGAACACGCAGCGGCAGCAGCGGCGGCGGTGGCGTCGCCAAAGCAATTGTTGTTATTAATCAAATACTGCTCATCCGCCACGTTGGCTGACATTATATCTGACTGAGCTGAAGCTGTAGCTGTTACTGTTGGCTTTGCCTGATGTGAATTAAATTTCAATTGATTAGCGAGTGTTGCACTCAGCGCTGCAACATTCTGTCCATTGCTTGTTGCTGTTGTTGTGAATGGTTTGGCCGTGTTGTTGTGTCTGTTGTTTGTGTTGTTGTTGTTGTTGTTGTTTGCGGGTAGCTGTTGCTGCTGCAGCTTATGTGAATACTGCTTTAGCAGTTGATTATATGCATTATGTCCCTTATTCTGCATGTTCATGTCATTCTCATTCTGCGGCGGTGCGGGTGGTGCGGGCGGTGCGGCTGGTATATAATTATCAACAGCAGCCACATCCAGCGATGTGCTGGAGCCCGATGCCTGGCGCGAGTGCATGGGCGACTGCTCCATGTCCAGCGAGAGTGTGGAGCTGGGGCTGAGAGCGGCGGCGCTGCAGCCACCCAAACCTGACGACGAGGAGCCGCTGGAAATTGATGAGAGGCTGCCAGCAGCTGCTGCCTGTTGCTGCCGGACAGTGGTTTGGCTGCTTCTCGCTGGCAGCTGCAGCAGCTCCTCGCTCTCAAATTGCAGCAGCTGCGTGGGCGACGGGGGCGGTGGCAGCGGCAGCTCGTGGCAGCTGCTTGCAGTCGACTCTGGCTCGAGCTCAGGCATTGGCTCGGACTAATGTGTTAATACAAGCGCGTGTTTTTTTATGGAGCGGGGTTTGGCACAACAAGAGGCAGGTGGGCGAGCAGGTGGGCGGGCGGGCGGTTGGTTGGGCAATGGCATGTAAATGAATGCGCAGTTAATAAAGGCAGTTAATTAAAATGCACAGCAAAAATTTAACAACTTTGAGAGGCTTTAAAGTGTGAGTGTAAGTGAGTGCTGTGCGTGTGTGGGTATACGTGGCGTATGCTTAATGTGTATAGGTGTGTGTGTGAGCACTAAAAATAGCTAATAGGTCAAGGTCAATGCGCCAACTAAAGCTAGCTCTTGACGCTTAAAGTGGCAAATGCTGAAGAGTTGTGTAAGATAAATGCAATTTCAAGTTGACAAAACTAAAGATCTGCCTACGATAATCCCAGATATTGTAATCTTTAAGCAATTTTAAATATTATATCATAAAATAACAAATAAAAAATCCTACCATTATATATAAAATATACAAATATTTATATAATCTGCAAAGTTATTCAAGAAATTCTTGAAGAAAAAATGTATGAGAAGTCCAAAAATTGAGTCTAGAGAAATTTAATATTTTTAATTAAAATTATAGTATAAATTGATGTATAACCAACAAGTTGGATTCAAGAAAAACTTGGAATAAAATTAAAAATAAACGAAAAAAGAAAATTAAAGAAAAAATCATATTTCAATAATTTTCAGTTCAAGAGAGAAGTTGAAATAAAATTTGAATACCTTACAAAAATTAATCAAACAGAAATTTAAATTAATTATACTTGAATTTTATGCTAAAAAGACAAACAGTCGACAGTAAATGAAATTTAAAATAATCTTAAGTATACAATACAAAAAAAAAAATATTTATAAAATAACTGTCTCTAATCTGGAGCTGAAGCTTAAGAGAAAAGCAAAACAAAAAGAAAATTCTAGTCCAAAAATGATTCTAAAAGGTATTTATTTATAAACAAAGTTGACTATAATCCCGGCAAAAACTCCACCAAAAATGTGGCAAATAAATTCGAGAAAAACTTGGAAAAAAAATGAAAATAATTCAAAAATTTAAACGAATTCTCTTTTTATGAAAATGTAATCCCAAAGCGTAATCCGAGCTGAATTTATGCGAATTGTTGAATAGAGTCCAAGAAACGTAATCCAATAGGCAAAACAAATAAAGTTTGTTATGCAACGAGACACAGGAAGCAATCACAATTTGCTAATTAAGATACAAAAACTATTTTACACTGCAATTAATTTGTGAGTTCTTTCACGAGTGCGCGAACAAAGACACTTTGCATAAAGTTTTCTTTAGCTTCGCTTTTAGAGTTTATAGATATATATATTTAGCTAACTATGAGTGTGTCTATATAGTTATTCGTTTCGCAGCTTTCGCGCTGGCTGCGTGCCGCGAACGCGAGTCGACAAGGCAAACTGAATGCGACTGAGACTGCGACTGCAACTGCGACTGTGACTGTGTCTCCGACTGCAGCTGTGTGGCTTGCTCTTTTTTTTTGTTTTTTATAGATCATGGTAAAAATAAATTGAATTAAAAAGCAAACAGCTAAAGCTGCCACAAAAAAATAAATATATATTTAGCATTTTTAGCCATTCGACTATTTGGCTAGCCATTGCACATTTCACAAAAATGCTTAGCTAGCGGCCAGCAGCTTCTGCAGTTCATTCTTCTCTCATGCTCGAGATTACTTTTTACTTTTCAGCATCAGTATCAGCATCAGCAACGGAAACTAGTTGACTATTTATCTATTTATATCAGCTCCGCTTGCTTAGTGGGTGAACAGCTCCCAATTTGCATTGATTAACTTTGATGGATGCTGGGCTACATTTCATGATGATACACACTTAGCTACACTTGGCAAAATACTAACAGGATCTTTAAAATTATTTGACACTATTTTCAGTTTAGTTTCGTATTTCTTCAAGTTTTTCCCTTTATATTACTATTCTAGTTTATTCTTTTTTTGTAATTAATTATATAATAATTTTCCTTTAGTTTATTTTTTTTTTGTTTTTTAATATTTTTTTTAATTTTATAAATATAGTTTTATTATTTTTAAAATAATAGTTATTTTATATTTTATTTATTTTTATTTAATTTATATTTATTTATATTTATTTTTATATTTATTTTTATTTAAATTATAAGCATTTGGTCTACTTCACCTTGCTTTTCGCTGAGTGTATCAAATCAATTACAGCTGAAGCATATGCCACGCCTACAGCCTAAGCTGCCCTACAGCAGCTTCCATTGGATTTGCATGCCGTACAGCTCGCAGCAAAGCTCAAGCCAAACACAATTCAAAGCGCTCTCAAAGCAGAAAGGGTAATTCACAATAAACATAATAATAATTGCATGCATAGAAGAAACAAGCGAATTATCTCAAATACACATACACGGTCGCACACACATACACACACACAAGCACAACAAATAACACACACAAATGCGAAAAGTTTTCCATTTTGTCGTTTTTATCGCCAGGAAAAATAAGAGGCAACAAAAGCAAAGAAAAACAAAAAGTATAAGAAGCAGAAGCATAAAAATTGTTTGAATTTCTTCTTCTTCACCTTTTGCCTCATCTTTTTTTCACACACACAGCGAAATTCTTTCACGTTGCCTTGAAACTTTTTGTTTTTATTTTTTGTATTTTTGCATTTTGCATTTTCTTTCAACATTTTAGCATATGGTATATATAACTGTGTATATATATATTTGTGTCTGCCGCAAGCAAAAATGTATGCAAACATGATAAGATTGATTGTAAAAACAAGTATAAGAAGAAGAAGCAGCTAAAATAGTAAAACTAGAAGCAGAAACAGAAGCGAGGGCAACTTCAAGTACTTAATTTTGGGGTCATAAGATTTTTTTGCATTTGTGTGTGTGTGTGGGAGAGTGTGTGCGTGTGTGTCTGTGTGTTAACAGTTAACAAACGCATAAGCCAACTTCTACTTACCGGTGCCGGAGTGGGCGTGGCATTGCCATTGGCATAGCCATTGCTGCCGTAACCATGCGAGTTCAAGGCCGAAGATATCGTGCTGGCGCTCAGCTTAGTATTCCTGTAGAAAGAGAATGGAGTTAGAATAGAGATCGTCCTAATCATAAGAAATGCATTAATTGGCAATCAGTTCTCCCACCCTCTCTGTTGGCCTTTAATTAAGTTGCGATTTGGCCAAATTGTTCAAACAAATCCCAGAGCGCCCACCTCAAAAGGTTGACAGACAACAACATATGTCAGCCCTAACGAACGCTCTCTATTCATATATATATATATATATATATATCCACATTTTTTTCTTGATGACTAGTTATAGTTGTGGCCACGCCCTGTAGGCCTCCCCCGCTTCCACCCATCAGTGCTCGACTGCAATTGTATTTAATAAAAATTTTCGCTGCTGACACGTCGGCAATCAGTTGTCAGTTTTTATGTCCACGGCAGATGTACAAAAAGAACGTCATTCAATTGGTAACTAGGGAGAGACTGAGAGTGAGAGACAGAGAGGGCAAAAAGTCCTGGTACCAAGCAAACAATACACAGGGGCACAAATAATATTTCCCCCTCTTTTGGCTATCGCGTCGAAATGTCAAACGTGTTTTGGCATACGGAAAAATAAATATGAATTGCATTTTTATATTCATATTCATATTCATATTGATATGAATATTCATATTCACATTTAATTCTTTTCATATTTATATTAATTTGTCACAGGCCAAAACTTGTGTAAACAAATTGCATTTAAAATCTGTCAAATCTAAGCGAAACGTAAAGTATTATCATGTCAGTTGTATAAGGAACAATTTCAGGGTATCTATTGTTGCATTTTGTATTGATAACGAAATAATATTTATTTGTATTTCAAATCTAATCTAATTAAATTTCATAAACTATGCTTTAAGCTAATCTAACGAAAACTATTTGTGTCTAGTGGATCCACCTGAAATTCCTTTGGCAACCTTAACCGCTCACATTTAGGTGCAGTTGCCTGATGTGATCTTGGGCTTTCTCAGCTATTTAGCATTTTAGCTCTCAACTTTCAATATTTACAGGGTATTTTGCGTGATGTGTACTTACGGCTTAATGGGCACTGGCACATAGCCCTCGGTGCCAGCAGGGGGATGCGACTGGGCGGCCATCTTGGCATGGACGTCGCAATATAGCTTGTTGTTGAAATTGTAGTAGCCCTGGTTCTTCAGGGAGGTGCCACAGGTGGCACACTTGAAGCACTCCACATGCAGATTCTTGTCCTTGATACGCACGAAGACACCACTAGAAAATGTTATCGAATATTAATCGAATATCCAAAAGACTTAAACTGGAAAGCTCTCAGAAAATGTATACTTAAATACTTTATGAAAGCTTGATTAGAAACGCTTAACGATTGTTAGTCCATGTGCGTTTCGTAAATGTTATCGATTAATAATCGAAATGTGATATGTGTTATCAAATATTATTTTAAGCCACATCAAGTGACATTTTAAGACGAACTTATATTTGAATTGAATTGAATAACAATTGATAACAATGCGGTTCATATGCTATAAAGCCCTATAAGCCACTTAAGAATATACATGATTATCAAATTCTTTTATATATACACAAATTAGTTATCGATAAGGAATCGATATGTTTTTTTGTTATGAAATTAATAGAAGTCAAAACAAGTATTTCTCAAAATTACTTTAACTCTAAATAGTTTTGAAACTTAAATTAAATTTATGATTAATCCATAAATATTTATGCACTTTAAGTACTTTCAATTCTCATAAACAATGAAATAATTGATTAATAATCCAAATCAAATATTTATAAAACTGTACCAAGGGCTCTTGAAAAGCTTCTGGTTTGTTGAACAATCTACAGATATTTATCTGCTGTAGCATGTCAAGTATTATCGAATACTTATCGAATGAATTCATGATACAGTTAGTAAAAAACGTTAAATAAATAAATGTAAATGCGGAATAAAATATGTTAAGTCCCTATAATGAATTATCGAATTAAGCTCTCTGAGTCGCCAATGGGCAGCCAATTAAATTGGCATACAAATTAATACAAATGATGATGATATTCCCCAATGACAGCCAACTGTAGTCCAACTGGCAAAGAGAGAGAGAGAGAGAGGGAGTAAATCCAATTGGAAGCCAGCTGCATAGTGTTGCAGACGACGCAAGGTGTTGGAGGCGTGGCTGCATAATAATCATGTGCACTGCATAAATTTAAACAATTGACTTCGAAATAAAAGCAAATTAAAATGCGCACACACACACACTGCAACAGACACACACTGCGACACGCACACACGCAGACATACAAACAGACAGACATCAATGAATTATCATTGTAGAATCCTTACACAATGCCCACGCCGCACAATTGACAGGCCGGATGTCCGCTGGCGGACAATGGACGCACACCATCCAAGCCGCCGGCCAGTGCCGCCGCCGCAGCATCCATCTCGGCCTTGTACTGGGGACCCTGCAGAGCGGGGCATATGGGCATAACAATGATGCGCGGATCGTGCTGCTCCTCCTGCTGTGGCTGCTCCTGCTGCTGGGGTTTGGCAACGGGCAGGCTGGGTCGATGCGTGGCCGCCGGCGCCAGCGTATTTTGCTGTAAATTGGTGCCGATGCGTTCGTCCTGTCCATGGCCCTGCTGCACCTGGCTGTGGGGCAGCGGCGTGCGTCGCTCGTTGCCGCCAATCGCATGGCTTTGCGTCCAATAGAAGTTCGCCGGACTGTGCGGCTCTGCAGCAGCGACATTATTATCGCCATATGCACAAAAGTTCAATCAGTTCACAAAGCCTTTGACAAGTTATTTGCAAGCAATGTGGGAGAGGATGGGATGTGACACCCCCGCCCCAGGAATAGGCCCCACCCTAGCAAATCCCCCAGGACAGCCCTAAAATATACCCAGCCTAATCTTGAAATAAACTCTGGGCTACTACTCGGCTTAACTGACAGTTAGTGACCAGTGTTAATCAAAGTGTTAGTGTTAAAGTCACTGTAAGTGTTAACGTGCATGTTAATGTTAAAGCAACTGTTAATGCTGGAATGATGCTCGTTAAGTGCGCAGACATAAATAATTCTTTAATTCTTTTTCAGATAATCTAAATGTTCATTTAGACTTAACTTGAATGTTAATTGAATTTTACTGTTATTGTCATTCTTAATGTCGCTGTTTCTATTTTTGTCTCTGTTGCCGTCTCTGTTGCAGTCTCTGTTACTGTCCCTGTTACTGTATCTGTTATTGTCTCTGTTGCCGTCTTTGTTACTGTATCTGTTACTGTCACGGTTACAATCTCTGTTACTGTCACTGTTACAGTTACTATCTCTATTCCTGTCTCTGTTACTGTCACTGTCTCTGTCACTGTCTCTGTTACTGTCTCTGTTACTGTATCTGTTATTGTCTCTGTTGCCGTCTTTGTTACTGTATCTGTTACTGCCGCGGTTACAATCTCTGTTACTGTCACTGTTACAGTTACTATCTCTATTCCTGTCTCTGTTACTGTCTCTGTCACTGTCTCTGTCACTGTCTCTGTTACTGTCTCTGTTACTGTCACTGTTACAGTTACTATCTCTATTCCTGTCTCTGTCACTGCCTCTGTTACTGTCTCTGCAACTGCTAGTGCTGCTATTAATGTCCATGTTATAGTTGTTGTTAGCTGGCGAATGCCTCACATAAATGATTGTTGCTTTGATTTCAGTTAATGTTCATCTGGCTGGCAGCTTAAGTTATTCACTTGTGTTTTTAGTTACGACACTTACGTAATGAGGCGTTCGCATTCGGTGCAAATGTTTTGACCAGTCGGCAGTCCCCCGGTGCTTGGGGGCTTTGGCGTATTGACGGGGGCGCTCACATGACGAGTGGCATTCGATTGTTGTTGCTGATATTGTTGGTGTTGATGCTGATGTTGGTGTTGGTGTTGATGTTGGTGTTGGTGTTGTTGTTGAGGTTGTTGTTGTTGTTGATGATGGTATTGCTGCTGTTGCTGGGGTGCATCATGCTCATAGTTGTTGTTGTTGTTGAATGCTGTGTTTGGTTTTTGTGTAGATTGTATTTTGTATGGAATAGAGTTGAGAGAGTACAAACATGAGTTAGCGAACATAGAACGAGAACGAGAACAAGAAGTAACTGCAAACAGAAATCTAACACAAAATTTCGTATAGTATAAGCCAATCTTATCTTAAACTCTATACCCTAAGCTAAAATTTATGTATACTTTATGATATATTTATATTTAAGATAGATAAAGAAAGAGAGAGAGAGAGAGAGAGAGGGGGGAAAGAGTGAGTTGTATTTGTATTGTATGATCTGCTTTTAGAAATTCGATTTGATATAAAGAAAACGAAAATCCATTTCTTTGTGTTTATCTAAGCGCAAAACGGAACAGAAAATTGATACAAAATCAAAATAAATAAGAATAAGGTAAATACAGATTAAGCTAATATATATTTGGATGCCCTAAAGAACAGTTCAAGGTCTTTGCTAGGTGTTTTTAAAAAAAGAATCTAGAGAGTCAATGCTGCTGTAATTTCAGACTTATTTATAGACCAAAGGCCAAATCTAGCTGGCAACACATGGCGTATGCGTAATATTACAACGCCCCCCACGTCTAGTTAGAGAGTGCTAACAGCTGCTAGGCTAGCCTAGGCTAATCGGCTATGGTGTCGCATCTAAAGGGATTCTCGCCTGCATTAAGCAGCAGGAGCATGCGGGCCAGCTCATAGTTGGCCGCTGCCTTACCTGGAGTCGATTGTCCTGTCTCTTCCTCGCGCAGGAACTTCAGCACCTCCGAACGGTCAGCCTGGTATTCCTTTTCGTTCTTCTTAAAGTTCACACTGTAAGAAAATAGAGAAGAAAATGACATTTAGAAACTGACTATAAATTTCCATTGCATACTTTCAGGCCGCATTGGAAATGCAATAGAACAACGCAGCGCACAAAAGTAGGCTATAAAAAAGAAGTGAGCGAGTGAGCTGAAAGATTGTTGCGCATGGGCCAACGCCAAAGTCGGCTCAAAATAAAATAATAAAAAAGATCCCCTAAAGAAATTAAGTGCAAGCAAGTCCCATGCGTGCATTTCAACAAAAAAACACGCTCAACACGACTCGACGGGCAAAGCACACCAAAAAACACTTGGCCGAGGGGTGGAAGGGGTGGGCGTGTCAGGGATAAAAGAGCTGCTATCATTTGGCGGAATTGCACTCAGCTTTAGACGCTTAGGCGACCCTGTGGTCGTGCAACACAGACCCAGACCCAGGCCCAGGCAGACGACGGCGCGCCAATAAAAAGAAGCCAAAAACAGAAGCCACAAAATGAAACAAAAAAACCAAAAACAAATTTTAAAGTAAAAGTTTTGTGTGGCATTCGGTTGTCATGGCAGACAGTTGTTTTTTATACCCTGCTTACATATGCACGGCAGGGCATATAGGCAATATTTGGTTCTGTTTTTGCCTGCTGCTGCTGCTGAGTTACTTAGCAGGTAGATACTTCACAGCTGTAGCAGATGAGGAAGTTAAAGTGTGAAGTATTTTTTCTGACTTACAGTTTTAGAACTAGATCTCAATAGCTGACAATTGAAGAATCCCTGAATGAGCTGTTAATCTTATAAATTCAAATTAGGTTTCTAATAAATTCTCTTCATGTCATGTCATCATCAATAACAGTCAGCAAATGGAGGCTGATTTTATTTATAGTTTAAACACGTGTGGAAGTATCAACACTTGTCCAACAAAATAGTACTCAAAGCTAATAACCTTAACCCTAACTAAAACTAATTATAAGATAGGAACCTAAAATGACACTTGAGAACGACTTAAAGTGTAAGGCGGAGGCACAAATGAAAACAAGTTGCATAAGCATGACTGAAAGTAGTTATAATATGCTCATGTTAGGCATACACGATTAAGATTTTAAGTGAATAGAATAGTAATATTCTAGAATTGATCAAACAGAGATGTTCCCTATTTTCATTTTGGTACTTTGAGGCTGACACATAGCTCAAGCTAATAGCTAGCAAAATTGCACTGAATGAAACGCACTACTAATCATTACCAAGTGCAATTGAATAGGGTATCTAGCAGTCGGACACATATTTAAGATGTCTGTTTACTCTTTTCACTTGCTTTAACATTCATATTTTGCCATAAACAGCGTTTGCTAACCAGCCAAAAGGGAAGTCGAGCAGACTGACCACGACTACAGAGCCAAGAGAAAGAGAGAGAGAGCGAGAGAGAGAAAGATATCTAGTTGAATTACTTACCCTAGAACACCGCCAGCCAAAACCTCCGCCTGAGCAGAGAGGGTTTCCGCAATAGATTCATCGCTGTAAATGCCAACCGGGGTGTTGTATTGTTTATTGACGATGCTCTTCACGCCGCCATCGCCGCCGCCGTTGGCCTGAAATAAACAGAGCTCGAGATGAAAGTTGGAAGAGTGATAAAAGTTTACCAAATGAATGTAACTTATTTTTATATATAATTTCGTTTATTTATTAATATTTATTTTATAATTATTTTTTATTTATTTTATTTTTATTTATATTTTTTCCATGTTCTGCTCGTCTAGCCCACTGTGCAGTGTCATATAGAAATGATTATAATATAAATTCATAACAATAAAATGTACGCAAATATATGCATATCATACACATTGATATTATTATGCATGACACATGGGTGGGTGTGTGTGTGTTGGTGTGTGCATTTGTGTGTGTGTGTATGAGCCACATTAATTCTTGCCAGCAAATAATCCTAGCACTCTTATTCATTACTCATTCTGACACTTTTCAAAACTACGCACAAGCAGACTGACAGACAGAGAAGGGATGAAGAGAGGGAGAGAGAGAGTGAGAGGGAAGGGCAAGGGAGCGGGAGAGGGAAGGGAACATCGTATAAATGCAAATGTTGTCAACTCATAGAAAACAGACAAGTTTCCACTTGTGCCGAAAATAAAATGAATGAATATGAAAACCCACACAACAATGAGACAGACAAACAGAGGGAAAGAGACACAGAGATAGAGAGAGGGGGAAGGGAGACAGAGACAGTTTCTGACAGCATTTCCCTGAGAGACTAACTATCAACATCATTGGTCATCAGCACGTCGGCTGTAACTGTGTGTGTATGTATGTGTGCGGGAGGCTAATGTTACCTAAAAGTAGGCTCAACCCAAAAGCCACACTCCAAAATGAACTTTAAGCATTTTAATTTCTTGGTCAACCAGTCGTTGGAGAGAGAGCTTATAAATGTTCTAAGTGCTGCCCACAAAAGTGTGCTATACCTCTTTTAATATGGTGTTGAGCTGGTAGAAATTGTTAACGATATGGAAAAATTAGCAAATAGAGAACCAGAGTGGTTCATGAAGGTGTTGAGCTATCAAAGTCTATTCAATATATTGCTATATATTCTATATAGATGAATACTCTAAATAATAGAGGGAAAGTTTGTGTCTGTCCAAGTCTACCAAAGAGCAGAAGAAGAGATGCTTGACTAGTGAGAAAATCATTCACATTCATATTTATATATATATATATTTATTTATTTATGTATATTTATATATTTGTTACTTACAAATGGACGCGCCGAGTTATTGTAGCCGCAGCCAATATGCTGGCTATCGGTTTGATGATGAGCCAGAGAAGTTTTCGTCACTGTCTGCAAATAGGGCGAATTGGCCTGTGGCACATTGCCAGTGGGTGTAACATGTGGACGCCAGGTAGAGCCGCCACTGCACGCATCACAAAAAGAGCGAAGGAGAGAGAGATAGATTAAGAGCAGTTCAAGCTTAACCAGAGCTGAGTGAAGTTACCGCTGCACTGTGATGACGAAATTGTTGCCCGAGCGCACGACGATGTCCTGCGCATCCTTGTGGCGACAGTTAAAGACGTCCACGTCATTGATCTTAATGACAGCATCACCTGGCTGTAGACCAGCCTGCTCCGATAGACTGCCAGCATTCACCTGCAATTGCAATTGAGAAGTGAGCAACAATCAGTCAATCAAGCAATTAATCAGTCAATCAATCGAAGCATTCACATTAAACCAGCAGCAAAACATAAATGAATTCAGCAAATATGAAAAGCGCAGCCAAAAAAATATCTTTGCTCAGATTTTCTTTATTTTCCATTTAGTTTAGTTTATGTTTTCGTGTTTTCATTTATTTATTTATTCCGCTGGGAAATCGTGCGCGGCTAAAGCTATAAATTTGCCAACGATTAAAATCGTAAAAGTTTCACAGCCACAACAGAAGCTGCATTACCCCCATTGCACACATGGGTTCCAGAGAGGGCGAGACGGTTTGGGGCGCTTGCCACACCTTTAATGCAAATATCCTAAAGCTTAAGCTTGAAACTTGAAACTGAAATTTGTTTAAAGTTGAAAACGTTTTTAAGATCTAAATAAATTTAATTTGAAGTTGAAACAAAATTGAATTCAAGGCAAACAGACTTGGGACTTGCTTGGCCTTAAATAGAAAATATTTAAAATAAATTAAAATTAAATTTAATTTAAAGAAATTTTATTACAAATTAAATTTTATAATAGTTTAAAATATTTAATTTATACTAATTTATTTTTATTTATATATATTTATATAATTTGAAAAAAATTTTAATTTGCTTTAATTTTAATTTGCTTAAAACTTTTTAAATTTTTTCAAATGGAATAAAACTTAAGAAATTTTATTTAAAATTTTTAAGATAATAATAATTAATAATAAATTTAAAATAATTCAATATTTAAATATTTGCCTTAAAATGTTTTCAATCAATACTTCGAACTTTTTAATAATATATATCTTTTAATAATAGTAATAATAAATTTCAAAGTAATCAAACTAAAATCTTTTCTATCACAGCCGATTGAAGGCCACAAAACACAGAAACCTCAAAGTCACCGCTGTTGTTGCACTTGACTTAAGTCTAGGCTCGATTTATGTGCCTCGACTCCCCACCTGCCACGTGACTAGGCTCAGGTGTGTCGAGTTGAAAATTATGCGCGCTCTGCACGTTTCCACTTTGCCAAATTGTCTGTTTATCAGACTCAGCCAGCCTCTGTCTCCCCTCTCTCTCTCTCTCTATCTCTCTCTTTCTCTCTCTGTATCTGACTGAACTGTCGAATGTGGTTCGCTTTATATTTACACAAAACAGCAACACACACACTGTGTGTGTCTGTTGGCTGACTGCATAAATATTTCATTGGCATGTTCGCCAAGCGAGACACCTAAATTTTGTAATATTTACAAAGTTGCTAAAAATGTGGCGCACCGAAAAAACCAAAGCCAGCAAAACCAGAATCAACCTGAAAGCCTGCCAGCCCCAAGCCCTAATCTGGGAGCCAGAACCAGAACCAATGGAGCCAACGGAGCGGGCAAATGACAGAGACCCAAAAAAAGAAAGAAGCAAATTCAAGCAAAAGCGCGCGCTCTCTCTTTTTTCTCTCTCTCTCCCTATATCTGTCTCTGTCTCTCAATGGATGCTGTTGACATGTTCATTTTCTTGTAACATGTTTGTTGCTGTTGTTCGACTGTTGAAAATTGAAATTGGTCGGACTTTGAGGTGTTACACAGGGAGTGAGTGAAAGGGAGGAGAGGAGAGGAGTGAGGCAGAGACCGAGAGAGACAAAACAGGGGCTGGGAAAACGAATCAAAGTATGCGCTGTTTCGCATTTTGTTTTTATTGATTTGACACAAGTATATATACCCTAACCGACACTCTGGGCATGACGGAGGTATGAAGCAACATGCAACAATTTGAAAATGGATAACGAGACTTCGAGCTGTATTTAAACTTAAACTTGAAAGAAGACTGTTTACTGCCACACAATTAGATGCAAGCAGACATCATTTAAATGCGTTTTTCAACACTGTTAAGCAGCTCTTACAATACTAAATTAAGCTCAAGTTTAACTCACTACAAATTCTTTTTGGAGTTAATCCATGCTTTTGCGCAAAGTGAACCACTCCCATATCGAAGTTGGCTTCCGTTTTACAACACTGCTTGCAACACTTATATTATTACGCTTATATATTAACACTTATATTATTATATATTGCGTGTCTCTCATTCTACAGGGTATTTGTAACATGAGCTTAACTTCAACTTAGTGTTGTAAAAGATGTTTTTTTTTTCTGTTTGCCAGCAAATTGCATGTCACAAAAGTGCGCTTGGATTTAATGTGTGTGTGTGTGAGTGTCTCTGTGACATTGGAATATTGACATTTAGACAGTTTTATGAGTACCTGCGATCAACATGCGCCCCGCCCACAATATTTGTGCACTGTCTATGGCCCTATATATGGCTGTTTGCGGCTCTCTGTGGCTTGGGAGCCACTGCAACGCTGTCTGCTGTCCGCTGTTTGCCAGCTTTGTTGTGGCTTGGGGCCGCTTGCGCTTGTTAGACATTTGTCAGCTTTATAGCATTTGTGGCCAGCCGCCAATTGACAAGGCATTTGTTTTCTGCCTTTGACTTATGAGCGTGTCGAAGGCGAGCTCCATTTCGATTACCATAAAACTTTGATCCCCCTCCAGCCCAGCCGGAGCACGCGACCGGAGCACGCGACCCTCTTTGACTCGGCTTACAGCTTGCCAAAAATTTGGGGACCAGCCAGCAGGAGATATTACATGTGTTAGCCAGAGGACTCAAGCAAATGATGATTTATAACAGGACAGGAGCTGAAGCAGCCTCACAGTGGACCAGAAAGAAAAAGAGAGAGGAGAAACCTCTAGCTGCCTGCTAATAATCAAATCTTTCTCATGCTTATTTTAATTTCAAAATATTTGAACATTTCTGCTGAATAGCAGAGATGAGATGGGCTGAGATGAGTTGACACAAAATGACATAAGACGGCAGCTGATGAGATGAAATAAGTTGAAAGATGAGATAAGGAGAGATGAGCTGAGCTGAGGAGATATGAGATCGCAAGAGATGAGCTGGGAACAGTTGGAATGAGATATGGTAAAATGAGAAGAGGCAATGCGAGATGAGATGAGCTGAGAACAGTTGGAATGATATAAGTTAAACTTAAGCTTACTGCTATTAGATGCAATCAAATAGGTTCAGATGAGATAAGAATGAAGTTAAATACTCCAAAAGGAGTGATAGATATGAAATGAGATGAGAAATGATGAAATGAAATGGGATCAGATGTAATAAGCAGAGACGAAATAGTCATATATGAGATGAGCTTTAACTGAATCTTAAATTTTGAATTTAAAGTGACTCGAAACAAAGCCAACAACACATAGAGAGAGAGAGAGAAAGAGAGAGACAGAGGGGAACAGTAGCATTCATAAATCCATATAGCAAATTAAATTTAATGGCCAGACACAGACAGAAATGCTCGTAATCAAGTCAACTAATCCATTCAAGTGCATTCAAATTGAAATTCACTTGACAGCAATTGGAATTTAAATGAAGACCAGTTGATGCTCTTGCCTTGGCACTAAAGCCCAACTAACTCCGTTCAGCTTATGTGCTCCTGTTTGCTCTATCCAATTCAGTTGCCACGCCCACTTCTTGTCAATTTCACACACTTTTGCCTAAGCCAGAAAAACATATCCTTTAACACTCTGCAATTTAGGCTGGCAAGGGAGAAAGAGAGGCAGAGATGCACGCACATTTTGTTGCCTGTTTACATATACGAACAGTGGGTGACAAAAGTATTTGCACAGCTTTAGCAGGTCTATTGCTCTATGAATTAGTTAATTTTAGCATAAAGGTCTCAGTCTGATGTGAATACAACAAAGTCTTCAAATTGTGATAGATAATTGTTTTGCAAGGCGTGCACATAACTTTATCGCCCACTGTAGAGATGGAAAACTCGACAGCATGCAAAATATTTATGTTGATAAATCAAGTTTGCTTTTTGTGGATTAGGTGTATCTAAAATAAATTAAATTTGTGGCGCAAATTGTAGGCCAAACACAAAAGGCAAGTCCAAACACGGCAGGACGACGGACGGAGGACGAAGGACGAGGGATGCGCAGAAGCTGCCAAGTTGTTGGCCAAGTTATGAACTTGTTTAATTGAAAATAAATCAGTTTAAAGGCAACTTAAACCGCAACAACTCCATTTGCCAAGCCATTCGCCTCAAATGGTTTTATCTCTCTGTCTCTCTCTGCTCTATATGCCACGCCCCCTGTCCACCGCCAGCTCTTCGTATACGCCATAAAAAACAGAAAGCGAAATGCTCGTAAGTAGAACGAACAAACGCTCAAGAGCTGTGCGAAAGACTCGAATACTGCGGAAATGCAGCGCGCAAATACAATGAATCTCAATGTATATGAATATGCATGCCCATCACTCATACGCCCCTTCTGCCCGCTCTCCTTATCTCTGCTTCTCGCTCGCAGTAAATCAAGCAAATGCCGCTGCGGTTTCTCTGCCACAACAAATGTTGGCCGCAGCACTTGACCAGCAAAAATACGAAAAAATAAAATGAAGAAGAGCAAAAAAAAATAAAATCGCGTTGCAGTTACAAACTTGGCAAATGAAGAGTTTTGACCCTCTTGCCACGCCCCCACGCCCTTGCTGACCCTCGCTTGGGCAGCTGCGCCATCCACTGGCCAGGCAAAACAATCAAATTCAGCGAGCTGTTAATGCAGCAAAGTAAATACAATGTTGGCTCAACTCCTTTTGGGAACTGATCCAAATTTTAGGTACTGCTTCGCTTAACAAGTTCCTAGTTCTTTTACTAGTTCCATTTTCAATTACTCAACAATTTATAGTGAACAGTGCAGTAATTACAATGACAATACAATGAAAAGCCGTTGGAACATTTGTTTGCTTTTTACTGCTGCTTCCTACTGCTTCCTTACGATATTCCTGGTTCAACTGGTTGCTAGTGCCTCAACTAGTTCCCAGTTCTTCAATAAATTAAATTTGCTACTAGCTACCCAGTTCATGGGTTCAAATTGTTACTTGTTCTTTAACTAAAGCCACTAACTGCAACTAGCTTAAGAT